CCAGGACACTCTGCTCTCTCACTCTAGCAGTGAAAGTGACCAACATGTCTCCGAGGACCAGGATGACTGGGTCAACCTGGGGTTCTAGTCAAAATGTCTATATCCTGTAGTAACAGGATGAGAGGAGATGAACTGGAGTCACGTTTCTCTTATCCTGACTCCTCCTGCCATCTCCCCACCTCTACCACTGCCTCTACTTTTGCGTTGTCTCTATGTAGGGTTAGAGGATGGGGGTAAAGGAAGCAGAGAGCGCATTTTAGAGCCTTAAGAAGGGGCAGCATGGGAAGCGTCCTACTTTACAGGACTGCCAAGGGAAGAGTAGGAGCTTAGTGTTAAGAGGGTCACCTCACTCTGGGACGGGTGATATCAGACAGTTCACATAGGGGTTGCAGGACTCAGGGGGAGTGTGTTTGTGTGTGTGTGATGGTGAGGGGGGTCTACCTGTTCCTTTGAGAGTGGGTGGGAGGCTTCCACTGTGTCATATAAATTCTAGTAAACATTTCCTTGCCTTTAAGAAAACAACACAGCAAGGTTATAGCAGTCGAGGAAGCCAAGAAAATAGATTATAAAAGCAGTTCTGTGAGAACGTTCTGTTTGACTTCTGACTTTAGAAGTTTTTATGCTACCAAAAGTTGTTTCCTTTCCCTGTATATATGTGAATGGTGCACTGAGAGTTTTGTCTCTTGTGTGGTTGTGTAGTTTGTCCTGCTATATATCTTGAGATGAGGTCATGTGGCCAGGGTCTGTTTGGTGCACCTGGATGTTGTTCATTCTCCTGAATCATGTTCTTTGTTTGTGATTTGTGATATTAGCATATACAAATATAAATTGACTTGAGATGACTTTACTTCCTTTACATATGGCATGGTATGTATTACTGTGGTTTATAATGTTTTCATTATAAAAGGTCTTGTCATTATCTGATAAGACAGATCTGTATTGCAGTAAATGAAGCATAAAGTATCTTAAGCACTGTTGTTATCAACGGGATGAAATGTGACAGGTTAAAAAATAGTTTTAATATTGAAATAGTTATCTCAGTGCATTATACAGCTCTTTTCACATAATGAGTAGTGTTCATCATCATCATCATGAATAACTTGATTTGTGGTCTGCCATTTAGTTCTCAGTTTTGCAAACAGACAATCCATTTTTTGTTGCTACATTCATTTTTCTGTGGAAATGAATTACATGCTATTTTTGTAGGGTGTAGCTCATCACAGGAGGCCATATTCTTTCTTTCTTAGAGCTTAGTCATTGCAGTGGTTTTATGCTTCACTGACTCTTCTATTTCCCAATCTTTCCACTTGCACTTAAAACTTCAGGAGGTGAAAGTGTGTCATAGAGTATGAGCCTGTTCTCATGGTTGTGGTATGCTATAGTGAAATATTTCACAGGATCTGTCTCCTCTCTCCTCTCACAGTTCCCCAACAGCATTCTCAGTCCAGATCAGAAGAACATTATCTGGAACAGCAAGAAGGGCTTTATCATCCGAAGTCCCACCTTCTATTACATCGGTCTCTTCTTCTGTGTGACTATAACTGATAATGTCTCACACAATTCACAACAATACTTTGTACACAGACCAGGTCAGTATGCTCTCTGCAGCAGTACATACAGTAGATGTCTCAATGATTTCTATATGAACCCCCCATTGCTCTCTCACTCCTATATTCTTCTCATTTATCCCCCAGTGAGTAACATCTTGGACGTGTATCTGAACAGCAGTGGACCTGTGGAGGCTCTGAAGGGAGAGAGACTGGCTTTGAACTGCACTGCCACCGCGGAGTTGAATACCAGAGTGAACATCACCTGGGACTACCCTGGAAAGGTCAGACCTGCATTAGAGTCTTTGGAGACTTTGTGGGAATCAGAGACAACCTGAGACTGAGGCTGATACAGACTGAGTCGGGGTGTATTAGCTAGTTCCCCTCAGAAACATATTTATCTCTTGACTTACTGTGATCTAAAATGAGATGGCAGACTGGTTAAAGGATCACTTTGTTTTTTTTTTAACCTGCTGTATTTCCCCTGAAACTGTTACAGGGTTCTGAGGAAATGAAATTGGTTTAAGGGGAGTCACTGACTCACTCTGAGAGAGCTCAGAATAAACACACCATTTCAGTCAAATCGTTTTCACCCTTAACTTAGAAGGAAAGCATGCAATATTTGGAATCTTTGGGCTGCTCTCTAGGGTAGCCATTACAGCTAAATGCATAATAATATACCTCCAGGGCAACTTGCTGACCTGATCACTTGCTCATATCCTTCCACCAGCATGTGTTTGTTTACATGACTGAAGCTACATAATTCTAAGAAATGCCAAGCATGGCAGGATGTTTTTGTTCATGTAATTTACCAAATGGCCTTTCACAGGATTATAATTTTGTCTGTGTGAATTTTAGTTTATTCCAACTAAAAGAATAAATGTAGAACTTCAGTTACTTAGTAAGATAACATAGCCACAGAAGAAATATGTTCTAATGATGACAACTTAACATTTTTAGCTTCAGACTTGATCCATCATTACATTACTGATGACTCACTCACTCACTAATAGATGGGTAAGTGAATCATTAATAAAGGTACTTGTTTTCATCAGGTATTCATTTTAATGTCAGAAATTCAAAGGATGTTGCGCTGTGGGTGAAAGGAAATCCCAACCCCTGCGTTCACAGATTACCAAACTAAATTTCAACACAGGTGAATTTTCAGTGCTCATTCCTTGGCTTTTTTCCCCTCTTAACTTTCAGAGTAACAACATTGGTTCCATTTGCAAGAGGATTCTGAAACACCGAACGCACATGTTGTTCTACAGTATTCTGACCATTCCGGCACTCCAGCTTTCGGATAAAGGCCTCTACACATGCAGTGTTAGCAGTGGTGAAAAAACCAAACAACAAAAAGTCACTGTTACTGTCTATGGTGAGTGTCTTCCTCTAAAACCTCCTGATATTTAGATAATTCTGCCACAGAAAATGAACAGATTAATCATTTCATGAGTTTCTTTGTATTTCATTATCCTGTCTTCACTGATAAGGGTGGTGGATATATGTCACAACAGTTATCAAGTATTTCCATTCTCTTTCATAATCTTACATGAATATGTGTTTTCTTGATTTTAGACCATCCATTTATCCGTCTAAAACCCAAACATGGATCTGTGATGGAGGTGCTGGCAGGACAGAAATCTTACAGACTTGCTGTCAAACTAAAAGCGTTTCCTGTCCCTGAAGTCATCTGGTAAGAGATCACATTGATCCCTGTACCTCTGAAAGAGTACCTCATCACCTTGTCTTAGTTTAGAGATTTCTCTACATCTTCAGTGTTTCACTTTCCTTTTACCTCCCTTTGTTGATGTATTTAAAAAGCCTGGCTGTAAATCTTATGTATTTTATTCTCTGGCAGACTCTAGAAAGGTGTTTATCAACAAAGCATTGCTCATCATATTTTGTCATCTAAGTTACAAATTCTGTAATGTAAAAACTCAGTAATTTTCCCCTTACACTGGTTTATGTTAACAGTCAGACAGAACTTTCTTGTAAAAACAAAACAAAACAAAAAACCTAATTTCTCACGTTCCAATCCAAAGCTCAAACATCTTATTTCTAACAGGTTAAAGGACGGAAAGGTGGCAGCTGAGCAATGCTCCCGATACTACATGGATGGGAATTCCCTGGTGATCCGGGATGTTGCAGTGGAGGATGCTGGAAAATATACCGTCCTAGTACGAATCCAGGAACACAAACTTTACCAGAATCTCACGCTCACGCTTGTGGTCAATGGTGAGAAAAAAGAACTAAAGTCTTCACCCAACAGCCACCTCTAGCTCAGATATTAAACGCTGCTCTTGTGTGCGTGTTTGTATGGGCTTTTTTTTTTGACAGTGAGTCCTCAGATAGGGGAGAAAGCAGTATCACTGCAAGACCCTGGCTCTGTGCCACGAGGGAGCAAACAAACCCTGCACTGCACTTCCCACGGTGTCCCTTCTCCACACATCCGATGGCTCTGGCATCCCTGCCCACCCAAAGGCCTGTAAGTAGCCCAGAAGATGGAGAGGCTGCAGTACAGTGTGCACATTAAGATTTAGCCTCTGAAAGCAGGAAACAATTTATAATTCATGATACCTTGCACCTTGGATAGCACAAGTGTACATCACTCTTGCATAGGATAAAAGTCTTTAAACAAAATAGTAAATGTTTTGATAATCTCTAAGTTGTAACAGATTTAACTGTAATATGCAAAAACAAAAATGCGTTGATTTGGAAAAACATTTTTTATGTTTGTTGATGTTAATTTATACTTTGTGTACTTTGTACACGTTTCAGCTATGTTAGAAATAACAATGTTATAATGAGACACATACAGTACCAAAAAAGATGTATTGTTAGTTTTATTATGTTCAAGTGTGTATGTGTGTGATTTTGAAAAATGAGACATGTTTTGTCTATTTCAGCCTGTGTTCAGACTGAATTTCCTTCTTGTAACCAGAACAGATGCCTTTGTGGGCCTTTCATGTGCTGGAATGTGTGAAAATGTGTGTGTGTGTGTGTGTGTGTGTGTGTGTGTGTGTGTGTGCACGCTCTCCCCCACATATGTGTGTGCATTTCATCTTGTTTGTGTGTGTGTGTGTTTCACTTGCTTGTACAACTTTCCCCCATACTGCGTGTTTGTTGTCTTACTGTCCATGTGTCCATATGTTTAAGTGCAGCCTGCGTGTGTGTTTGTGTTTGTGTGTCAGCCTTGTACATTAACAGACACAGTACACAGTGTATCTCAGACTTGAAAGGACAGAAAAAAAACACACTTCAATAGGAGCCAGTTCCGTGCTCTCAGTCACGATTTGTTAGTTTCCAAATGAAAAGCTATGATTTAATGAATTTCCTGTCCAGGACTCAGTGTGAGAGGCCTGTTTATTATTATGATTGCACACGGCATCCTGTGATGCCTTTTCTTATATCTGACACACACACTATATATAAATTTCTCATGAGAAATGACCCAACCCAGTGATGCATGAAGGACAGTTGTTTAATCATCTCACACACACACACACACACACACACACACACACACCCGAGTAGACACTTGGCAGAAAATGTGATTGAGTTGTTCTTGGAGGTCAGACACGTATTGTGTTGCTTGTGACCAAGTCAGAAAGGTTAAGCATTACCTGAGAGACTACAGCATGCTCTATTCCCCCTCTGAGACACACTGACATCATCAGTGTACTTGACCCTTAATGCCGGCACTCTCACATGGCGCCATGTGAGCTGTAGTCTAGTTCTGCCAAATGTAATCTACATAATTAACATGAAAAAATGACACTTTTGCTCTGAAATCGACCATCTAGAATATCTGCTGCATATTAAGACATTTAGATTTTAAATTAATAACATTGTTTAAATTTAGCTTCTGTTGTGCAGTACCTCAGTACAGTATTATAGTGCAGACATACAGTATGCATGAGAGCAGACTTTAACTTATCTTATCAGGATACAAGCCACATGCAATCTGCACATGAAAAAAATTGCTGAATACCACCCAATTCATGATTTAAATCAGTCTTATATTTATTTCTAAATTAATTATAAGTCAAATTTCATATTAGTAATTACAGAAACATAGTGGCATAAAAGAAAAAACACAGCAGACTGGCCTCTCTCTGACTGACGGCAACATGTTACTATAAGTCCCTATTTAGTATTCACAACCGTCATATATAAATGTTTAATAGATATTTACATGGTATTGTGGTTACAAGCAGAAATGTTTAATAGTACATTTGTTACCAACTATATCTTCTGCAGTGTGCACCCATGAGTGGAGGGTAATGTGTACACGGATACTGTACTTGCACTTAAAAATGTCCTTAAAATGGAACAACTACAGAATATTGGTTTATAAACTATGCGTTAAATGTTTATATGCTACCTTGTGGTCCTTTTTAGAGCTCTGTTCTGGTTCTGCTTCAGTGTCTGTACTGAATGTGTTTCATTAGACTAGTTTTTGGCTGGATCCTCACTAGGCCCTTGTTCTTTGCAGCCCGGCTGCACCACAAGCCTGACACCACGCTGGAGGAGGCCCAGGAACTGTGGACCAGGCTGGGCCAGGCTGATGGGGGGCCTCGCGCCTGGGTCCACTCCTGGGTCTGGCCCTGGGAACCGCAGCACTCTTATCTGGCCTGGGCAGGAGGCGCACTGGGCTTCCTGTGCAAAAATCAGAGCGCTTTTCCTCTCGTTGTTTGGCTTCCTCTCCGACGTGAGACGCTTCCCAGCAGCGTGATTGTCCCTTCGTCTTCAAACGTGGCATAGTCCACTTCCTCAAGAGCTTGATCTATTCTTGAGAGACCTAACCCCCACACCCTTCCACACATACCTCTCCAACCCCTTCCCTCACCAGCTCTGTCCTCCACCCCAACCCAGCATCCTCCACATTTATAAGAGAACAACTACCCATTACCTCCCACCCTGGAGCCCACCCCAGCCACCACTGCCCCCTCCACATACTCATCAATGCTTCTGCCCAGCAGCCAGAACCCTCAGTGACATTACCAGTGATCATAAGTGATGACCCTGTTCTTGCTAAACTGGTGCAGAAAGTGACTTGGAACACTGCTGAGCAGTGAAGATCAGGAGAGACACAGGAAACGAGGAAAATCAGCCACATCATTAAGGATATAAGAAACCCTGTTTTACTGATTATTTATTTATTTCTTTCATTTTACCCAGTTTCAGTCCTCCCTTGCACCCAGCCATCCTGTAGTTGTTCATGCTTCTTAGGATTCACAGAAGTTTTGAGCCAAAAGAAGTGCAATTCCATCCATCAGCCACATTTCTGGAGCTGCTTTGCTTGTTTTTGTGTCCTAGAGTGGTACTATAATGGGTGCATGAACCATGCCTGTCACAAGCTCTGATATGATTCTGACATCCTCAAAAGCTGTGAGTTTCTGTTGTGATTTTTAGCCACCGGTAAGGGTCAGATCTGCTCACCATGGATGGGTGAAACAAGACAGAGGACAATCTTTGTGGTGTTCACTATGGGATGCTGACAGTTCTCTATTAAAAGACTAAAGGTCAGCAGACACCTACTATGTAGGAAGTCTCGACGGACCAGAAACTCTGACTTCCTTCTGTCATATCATTTTGTGTCGTCCTGTGTCAACCCATGTTAAAATGTCTTATGTTGGTTTGTCAAATGATGTCAATATAACAGCCATGTTGTCTTATTGAAAGCTAATTAAAATCTAAATGGTAGGTGCCAGGGTTTCCTTGCAAAAGAGGTTGTAAACCTCACTGGGATTTGTTTCCCTGATAAAATAAAGGTAAAAAAAAAAATTAACATAACAAAAATGTGCGATGCTATAAGCCATTTTAAGAAAATGAACGCTGTATAGTTTTAGCAAAGTCCATTCAGTGTGTGTTTGTGTGTGCAAATCAAGTGGAAGAATGTGCAGCTGTGCGTGTGTGTGTGTGTGTGTGTGTGTGTGTGTGTGTGTGTGTGTGT